CTCGGCCTCCCAGAGTGCTAGGATTACAGGCGTAAGCTCTGCGCCTGGCCCAGACTTCTCATGAACTTAAAGCAGCTCTCATAACCATCCTCCATGGGGTAAAGGTGCCCTAGAGCCCGAGGTCCAGGGTTATTCTGTATTTCAACCAATTCTCGAGCTGTCTAGTAAATACAGCTTTAACTGTGTGAGTTGGGCTGCTGTCAGCGGCAACTAAGGGTGCTGACAGATATTTGAGATATGCAGTAGTTCTATAATACCAATTCATAATCAAGTTATGTCTCCAATCCCAGACCGGATAGATGATTGTGGTGGTGGTGGTGACAGCTGCCACTCATTACTGATTAACATACGCCAATTATTGTGCTAGGATTTTCACAAATATCTCAGTGCTGTCCACTACTTTATGAGGCAGAGTTTTTATAGATAAAGAAACCGGCAAGGTTTTAGTTACCGGCCCGTTTTCTTCTTGTTGTTTTGGGGCCCCCTTGGATTTGGACCTTGGTTTTACTTCCAAGGCTTTTCTTCGGGCCCCTTTTGGTTCTTTGTTAGATCCCGTGAGCTAATGCTAAATCTTAAAGCTTCATAAGCAGAAATCAAAGCAAAAACTGATTCCTCACTGTCCCTCTTTGAACTTCACAGAAAGCAGAATTTGGCTAGCAATAGCCTCCTCCACCCAATCCCCCTCTCCATGTCTCCCCAGAGTCTCAGCACTACACATCACCCTGTCTCCTGGGGAATCAATTCACTTATTTTTAAGCAAATTTAAAAATAATTCTTCACAAGTTATTCGTTCCAAAATATCTTTATGTTCTATCAAAAGCCTTCTAATTACTTTGTCTGTTTTCTATCTATGTTGATTTCAAAATAATATTTAACATTTTTGGTTTTTCTGATTGCAAAGCAATGTATATTCAGTGTGAAGAGTCTAGAAAATAGGGGAACACATAAAGGAAATAAATATCTATCATAATCTCTCCAACCAGAAATTCTCACTGTTAGGATGTCATTTTTCTAAGCACATTTATTTTAAACATTGAGATATAATTTATTATATCAAGTTTTTTATTATGCAAGCAGAAAAATTAGAAAATACAGATAAGAATGGCTTTCTTTTTTATAGGTTTCTCTTTATCCATATTTTTAAAAGCAATGTATAACATGGTCACTCCAAGTAAGAAAATTAAACATTTATCTCCTCACAAAATATAATATACTTTTCTTCACTTAGGAATAAATTATGACAAAAAACATAAGGTACACTGGTTGGGAATTATGAAGCCTATTCACCTACTCTTTCCCCTAATACTTGCTGGTATCTTTCTTTTGTGGCTAAAATAAACATTTTTTCAGTGCTGTCATACCTTTTTCCATAATCCATCTCAGAAACTTTAAGCAGACAGATTATTTATAGTCCAAGGAGTCGTCTGAGGAGAACTTGATTCTAATCCCAGCACCACAATTTTTCCGACTGTGTGCCTTAGGGAAGCCGCCTGACGTCTCTGAACCTCAATTTTCTTTTCTATCTATAATAAAAGTCTAATATCTTATATCCTTATCTTGTAAGGTTATAAGAATAAATAGACTACCTGAAATTACTATACAAATAACAGATGATTATTCACACACAGATACAATAATATGCAGGTTTATGTGCCAAGAAAACTCTTACTGAATTAGTGTATTTCAGGTCATGAACTATACTAGGTACCATAAAATAAGAATTGTAACCTGTTTAGCTCATTGCAGTTTGCAAAGATGTTTTACATATATTTTCTTATTTGATCCTCATTGCAACACTATGAGGCAGGTACTAAAACATTTCCTCAATTCTAAAATGCAATTTTTGAACAATTCTGAAATGAACATCAAAAGAAACTTGTCACTAGCTATGCAGAAAGACAAAATTGTCATAGCCTATCCCTATGCAAACTTAATAGGCTAATTATACATCAATTTTGTCACCACTTTTGTTATTAGTATCACAAGAGTTAGATTTTATCTTTATTTGTTGCTTCTAGCTTCTGAAAAAAAGACTACACAATGATGCAGCAAAGAAACCAAAAGTTAATGTATAAAAAAGACCACCTCTGCCACAGAGATAATGCAATTAAGAGGACAGAAGTTGCTGATTCCCTCAGAACAGACCACATGTGTTTAAAAGCTAGAAGAGAATTGTAAAGATGTGGAATCAACCTAAGTACCCATCAATTCATGAATGGATAAAGAAAATGTGGTGTATATATATACCACAGGGTACCACTCAGCTATAAAAAAGAATGAAATATTTTCCAGCAACATAGATGGGACTAGAGACCAGTATCTTAAGTGAAGTATCTCAGACATGGAAAAACAAACATTACATGTACTCTCTAATAACTGGGAGCTAAACAGTGGGCACATACAGCTCAAAGAGATGTAAAGGACATTGGAAGCCAAGAAGGGGAGAGGGTGGGTGACAGTGACGGGTAAAAACTTACCTATTAGGTACAATGAACACTATTCTGGTGATGGGCACACGAAAAGCCCCAACTTAAGCATTATACAAGGTGACTACCTAACAAAAAAATTTGTACCTCCTTAATATTTTGAAATACATACATACATACACAAAAATAAAAGCTAGAACAGAACTACTTCATGCATCTCGAAGGACTATCACTCAGATTCTATCTGCCAAACGTCTCTGAATAACCCCTAACTTAAACCCCAACAGGGTTTAACTATAAGTGACAAAACCATGAGTGTAATCTAACAGGAAAAAGAAGCTTTTAGGGATATTTATTAACAGAGCTCAAATCATTTACACTAGGGAAATATAAATTGAAAATTAACAAACAAAAACAATAGGAAATTTGAGACCGCAGTCCAGCCTTCAGTTAGGGGATGATGTAAGAACTAATTAAGAACATAAATTGGCAGATCAATAAATCCTGTTGAGCCAGAGCCTGAGCTCACAGAAGAAAAGAGCCTTGGTGGTGGGCAAAGCCAGAGTGTGGGGAGAATGCAAGAGAAGGAGTAGGATAATAAAAGAAAAAAATCAGGCAGAGACCAAGTCATGGAAGGCAAGACAGAGGGAGTATCAGGTCAAAACAGTGCAGCCTGAGATCCCAAGCACATGTTTAGAAAAGAAATACATCACCCAATTGTGGGGCGTGGTGGCAACGCCATTCCAAGATGGCGCCCGCTTCCTGGTCACACCCTACTGTGCGTCTGACAAACAGATGTTCAGCGCATGTGCAAAGCCTTGCCTCCTCTCCTGTTCTGTGTTGACCAATCAGGTTATGCCCCATGTACTTACTGTCTATATAAGCAGCCGCCGAGAACGCCTCGGCGTCTTCCGCATGTAACTAGCTAAGCAATCCCCATTAAAGCGCTGTCAGAAGAACTCCGGTTGCCGCGTCTTTCTTGCTGGCGAGAGGGCGCGACACCCAATCTCACTAATTGCTCATAGACACAGGTAATTCAGGAGAATCTTTATATATTTCAGGCAAAGGCACAGACTTGGTCTTTGACAGAGATATTAAAGAAGAAATTACATAAAATTAAAAGGATACATTCACACTGTTGCTGGTTGGGGAAAAAATTATTGCACATTTAATAGAGTGGAGATTTCTCCCACTCACCAAAAAAGGCAATAAAATTCTGGTACATTTTAGGATCAACAATGCCTTAGAATTGAGGAAATATGACACTGTGAGAAATTGAGATTCAAGGTTTCTGGGATGCAACAGTATGTGTGAGTCGAGACTAAGAGTCAAAAATAGCACATGTACAATTCTGTCTTTACTAGATTACAGCTACTAATGTTAGCAATTTACTTATTAATATGTATTATGGGCATTTCCCTCTTATTACTTGATTTTGGTACTTTAGCACTTCCTGTCTCAGCTGGGTCCCCACCTCCTTTCAACAGTCTTTTTGCACCCCTTCCCTAGTCAGCTCTTTCCCATTTTCATCATGACAATTCTGAAATTAGCAGTCATATTTTCAAGCCATACACTAAGGCCCAGTCTCTCCACACTCAACAAATAACCTTGCACCCTACCTTGATAAGAAAATAAAAGCTTTCCAGACATGAGTTTCCCCAAATGGTCCCCCTTCTTCTGTGCGCGTTTATGCATGCAAAATTTGCATGCTCACCTCCTTCCCAAGGGCCTCAGGAGCAATGTATCCTTCTACTTTCCAAAATGGGTATTTGAGCCTGTTCTTCAAATATCATCCTCTCCTCAAATGTGTCTCATTAAATATTCTGCCTCTTTCTTATTTCTGTAATGCCTCTCTCTCCCTTCTGGTTCCCCTTCCAACAAATAAGTCATTAGAGTTTCTTCCATTATTAAAAAATAAAACAAAATCCCCCCTGACCCTGTGTGTTGGTGATTCATCATTTACTCTCCAGATCCATCCTCCACCCTAATTTGCCCCAAGGTAGGCTGGAGAGGCAGACCTCTTTCGACTAAACCACTCGGGTTCCCTTGCCCTCTGGATTCTGAGTATGTTCATCCATCAGAGGTACCAGCAGGAGATTGGAAGAAAGGATTTATCTCCCTTCTGCCTTCTACAGCCACTGAGCTTCCAGAACACCACTCCCTCCACTTGCTGAAGGGTCAGGCCTGCAAATGCTAGCAGGTTCCTTATCTTCTGCTCCTACTTAGTTCCCAATGCTTCTGTTGTTGATTCTCTTAAATAAGTCCACACCTCCATAAAAAGTTTCTTTATTAAATTCTATTCAGTTGAACTTTTTGCATGAACCATCTGTTTCCTGCAGGGACTCTTAGAAATATACCTCATGCCTCTTTCTAGCTCCTTTCTATTTCTTCCCAGCCATGCTTCCTGAAAGACTAGTCTATACTCACTAACTCCCACTATCATCTCTCATCTAGACCTCAAGTCACTATGACCTGACTTCTGCCCTCTCATGAATCCACTAAACTGATCTCTCCACTGTGCTATTCTAGGTCATTTGTGATCCAGCCCTGACTACCTTCCAGCTGTATCTCCCACCATCTGCCACTAAACCATGTGCACAATACAACTGTCCCACGCTGTCTTGGACACTCTTACATGATTCCCTCCAGCAGTCCTTCTCTGCTTCAGATAACTAGTGAACCCCTAGCCATTGTGCAAGCATCAACTGAGGAAGCACCTCCTTCTGGGAAATACTTCCCTTACTCTCCCATCCTCTACCAACAAGAATTAATTATTTTTTGTTTGTATATCCAGGTCCTAGATCCAACTCTTGTACTCATCTCATTATAATATCATTATAATTTACATTGTAATCCTACCAAATAGTTATGTATTTCAGGACAGAATGAGACCAGATTCCCCAGAAAACAGACCTGGAGGCAAAAGTTTATATGATAACACTTTCTAGAGAAGTGCAATTCCAGGGCTGCAGAAACAAGGCAGGAAAGGAGTGAGAACAAACACGAGAGAGTGTGTCACAGAGCTGGCCACAGCTTTCTCATAAACAGATTGCCCAGATTTACAGAATGTCTTCAGGGAGGTGGTATGAAGCTGAGTCTCCAGTCAGTCAGTTCAGGAGTAGGATGAAGGAAAAATTTATACACCAACTCCCTTCTCTCATTGAGAAAATGTTTGACCACATGGAATGTTAAGTCCTTGGAACTTCCAGGTTGCACATGTGAGTTCCAACAGGTACCACAGTGTTGTGGTGGCAACAGGGAAATCCAAGGACAAGAGTTACATGACATGGGCATGAAGCAAGATGCTGCTGGGTTGGTTCTTCCTTCAAGCAATGTGAAGGAAGAGTGTTCCTGCTGCAACCCCACCCACAACTGTGGGAAACAGCAGAAGTGAGACAGTAAGACAAGTGCACACTTATAAGATGATGTATAAACTGAACGTGGCTCAAGAACCCAGAACAGTTTTAGAAAGATAATAGGCACTTGGTAAATAGTTCTTAACTTATTAGAAGAAGAAGAATTTATACTTTTGCCTAATTGAAAAATCTCCATTGAGAGGTCTAAATCTCTCAATGGGTAGGTCCATATAGCATTAACACCTTAAATGGTACCAAATTGCTGCCAATTCTGAGGTTAGTGAGCATTTGTAATTCAAAAATTAGAAGGACTCCAAAGTGTCACAAACAAGTTCGACATTTTTATAGTGTCTTCCCTTTCAGAAAGAGATAAGCCTAACACCCCAAACTAAGATGTTTTATTTACCAATTATGTTTTTCTCAGTTGTCTGGACATGACAATCTTCATTGTGCAAGACCGTCCCCACCCATTTAATTCAGATTAATCTTATAGTTTACAAATAAGAAATGCTGCCATTCAACTAAATCACTTTTTCTAATAGTAATGTTGTAGAAATAATTAGGAAATGGCTTCTTAATGGGGTTCAAATTCTACAGTGATCATTCTCCGAAGAACCAAAGCAACTCTCCAGCATCACTGTAAAGTCCACGCTTACATTCCCCACCCCACATGCTCTACGTTTACTTCACTACTAGCATCTACGTAAGTCTAAAAATATCATTTCAGTTGATAATTTTAGACAGTCTGGAAAAGAGATTGAAAAGAATTCCACAGACCCTTTTTAAATAAGAAGCAAGGAATCTAAATCAATTTGTGGTCATAGTTACCCAGCCCCATGCTTAAACTGAGCAAATAAGGGAGGGTCGACAAATTAGCCATTTCAACTTTAAAGCAGAAAAATCAGCCTGTGCCCAAAACCTAATCTGGGAACAGTCATGTCTGTCAGAGTCCTTGCTAGTGATGAGTGGAAATCTATGTACATGCAACATCCACACCCTCAGCTTAGTTCAAGCACCTGTAGGAAAGATTGTAGCTAAGAAAATTATTGTAAATATATGGTTTCTTTCAACAGAAAACTCACAATTCAGTAAAAAAACATCAAAATAAACATTTAAGGAGAGCATTTTAACAAAAATGTTAAGGGAGATATTTACTTTTAATTTTTGATGGTTTCCACAGTATTTTCTGTGAGTCAAATACTTAATAATATATATAACTATATATGTATATTATATATATATATATATTATATGTATATAATATATATATATGCCTGTATTGAAAGATTACAAAGCCTTCATTAAAACGGAATGTAGGCCGGGCGCTGTGGCTCACGCCTGTAATCCTAGCTCTTGGGAGGCCGAGGCGGGCAGATTGCTCAAGGTCAGGAGTTCAAAACCAGCCTGAGCAAGAGCGAGACCCCATCTCTACTATAAATCGAAAGAAATTAATTGGCCAACTGATATATATATAAAAAATTAGCGGGCATGGTGGCACATGCCTGTAGTCCAGTACTCGGAGGCTGAGGCAGAAGGATCACTCGAGCCCAGGAGTTTGAGGTTGCTGTGAGCTAGGCTGACGCCACGGCACTCACTCTAGCCTGGGCAACAAAGCGAGACTCTGTCTCAAAAAAAAAAAAAAAAAAACGGAATGTAATCTAATGATGTGATACTCCAGAAAAATTCTGAATACCCCTTTGAGTCCACTGTGATGAGATTTGGGATCTCCAATAACAGAAACAAGAACACAGCCATGAGCCTAGTGAAAATTAATGCTTATCACAGCTCACCTCTCATAGGAGACAGCTCAGCAGCAGGGCTCTGGTCTTAGCTCGGGATGCTATAATAAAATACCACAGATTGGATGGCTTAAGTAACAGCGATTTATTCCTCACAGTCTGAAGGCTGGGAAGTCCAAGATCAAGGTACCGATTTGATTCCTGGTGAAGGCTCTCCTTGCAGACAGCTGCCTTCTCGCTGTGTGCTCACATGGCCTTTCCACGGAACATGCATGAGGAAAGGGAGATCTCACATCCTCTTTTTATATTAACAAGACCCCTTCCTCATGACCTAATCTAACCCTAATTATCCCTAAAGGCCCCATCTCCAAATACCACTACACTGGGGGTTAGGGTTTTCACATTAATTTGGAAGAGGGGGGACACAAACTTTCAGTCTCTAACAGTGATGCTCTCCGGCATTAGGAGCAAGAAACTAACTCTTCGAGTTCTGAAGTTTATTCTGGAAATTTCAGAGGAAACTCTGTTATTCTTTTAAATTATGTTTCAGTCAAGAGACAGAAGTGTGTAGTTGATATTAACAAAAGCACAAGAATCTTTAGTTTTAACTAGACCTAGTTTTATTACTGGGCAGGTTGCTTAACTTTCTGTCATCTGTAGAATGGGGTTAATAATAGCATCTTCTTCATAGGACTGTTGTGAAAATTAAATGAGTTAATATAAATATGAAAGTACAGTGGCCCTCTATATCTGCAGGTTCTAAATCTTTAGATTTAACCAACCACAGATCAAAAATATTCAGAAAAAAAACCAATAAACAATAATACCACAATAAATTTTGTAATATATACAAAACATATAGCATAATAACCATTTATATTGCATTTATATTATATTAGGTATTATCAGTAATCTAGAGATGATTGAAAGTATATGGGAGGATGTGCACAGGTTATATGCAAATACTACACCATTTTTATGAGACGTTAGCACCCACAGATTTTGCTATCCTTAGGGGGTGCTGGAACCAATCTCCCACAGACACCAAGGGACAACTGTACTTAGGACAGAGTATAGATTATAGTAACTGCTACATAAGTATTACCACTATTACTACAAAACAATTTAAACATAGTTTTCAAAAAGCACATCTATATCAAAATTATAATAAAGTATTCTTGCTACATTTACATTGTGTGTGCCTGTCTCCCTTCCTCTAGAGCTGCAGTCCTCAAACCCCAGGCTGCAGACCAATACTGGTCTATGGCCTGTAAGGAGCTGGGCGGCACAGGGGAGGTAGGTGGTGGGTGAGCCAGGGAAGCTTCATCCATATTTACAGCCACTCCCCATTGCTCACATCACGGCCTGAGCTCCGCCTCCTGTCAGGTCAGAGACAGCATTAGATTCTGCATTATGGTGAGTTGCATAATTATTTGATTATATGTTATAATTTAATAATAAAGTGCACAATAAATGTAATGCATTTGAATCATCCCAAAACCAACCTACCCCCTACTGCTAGTCTATGGAAAAATTGTCTTCCATGAAACCGATCCCTGGTGCTAGAAAGGTTAGGGACTGCTGCTCTAGAAAATCTAAGCAACCAAGGGAAAGGATAATGTCATTTCTTTCTTTATAAATCTCATAGAACCTACCATGGAGCCTTAAGTTGCACACAACTGATTCAAAGTATGTTTTGTTGCATGAGACAATGAAGCAAAATATATCCCACTTAACCAAAAATAAATTTCTCTCAAACGTTTAGAGAAAATAAAGAGAAAACCTAAGCAAATAAATCTTTCCTTTCATGCATATCAAGCAATTTAAGTAGAAACTGACTCAACCTAACTCAGAGTATTACAAAACCATAAGTAATTACAAATAAAAATTCCAAAAATCCTTCATAAATAATAAAACATTTTCATGTTATTAAAATAAAATGAACACAGGAAGGCTAACCAATCATCTATTTTCGTGAAGTTTCATAATTAGCGAGCCACCAGATTGTAGATACATTTTAAAGATGCAATTTTAATCAAGGTTGACTTTATTTCTCTTTTAAATTATACAGGCTCTAAGTTCTGGGCTCCAAATAAATACCTTTCTGTGTAGCTATAATGAAGGGAGGAATCTATGCACATACAAAATACGTGCATATTTAGAGATTGGTGATTCTTGCACCCTGGTTTTTGGCTACCTTGGCTCACAAACTGGGAAAGCCCGAAGTAGGCAGGACAGTGGCAAATAATCGTAATGAGGCCACTGGGCTATAGGTTGTGATTGCATTTCAAAGTGTTCTGAAGAACTGTAAATATAAACAAACATAGGAGAACAGAGAGCTCCATTTTAAAAGTAACATTTGCACATATTTTTATCCTTTACATTTAGAGAAAACTGCCTGCCATGCCACTGCCAACATGACTTACTACCACTTACGTAGAAGTGACTGAAACGAAACTTGTCGACCAGAGTTGATTTTCATTTTTAGCTCACACTTTATCTCCAGGCAGCAGCTCTGGCCACCATTTCTGATGCCTATTATTTGCAGCTTGCTTCTTTTCTTCAAGTTCCAAGTGGAATGCCCTTTACTGAGTTCTGTTCTTTCAAATGAGTTCTTAAGGAGCAGGAAATTACCAAATGTCGGAAGATAACAAAAATGGTGTATCTTTATTAGTGTAGAACAAAATTCTAAGCCCCTAAAATTTAAAACTACAAGCTCCTCTATTCAGCCTTGGGTAAAATTAAAGGAGAAACTTTAGGTCAAATAGCACTTTAAGAGTTGCTGGTATGGTAATGAATATTTGTCTCCTCCAAAATGCATGTTGAAATTTAACTCCCAAATGTGGGGGCACTTGAGAGGTGGGGCCTTTCAGGGGTGACTGGATCCCGAGGGCTCTGCCCTCATGAATGGATTAATGTGTTATAAATTAATGGGTTATCACAGGAGTGAGACTGGGAGCTTTATAGGAGGAAAAGAGACCTGAAAGAGCATGTTGTGGTGTGACCAACAAGAAGGATCTCCACCAGATGCAGGCCCTTGACCTTGAACCTCCCAGCCTCCATAAATGTAAGAAACAAATTATTTTTCTTTATAAATTAACCAGTTTCAGGTGTTCTGTTACAAAAAACAGAAAACAGATTAATAATAGTTACCACACAAGGAAATGATCCTGTAAATCTTAGTGCATTAGGAATTCAAAGTAGTGAGCTAGCTGTTAGTCTTCTCAGGGAGATGAAAACAGGTCAGAGATGATTTATTTTCTGAGGACCATTACAACACACTGAACAAATGGCAAAGAGAACGAGCTAAGTGGCCTGAAAGCCTTATTTCAGTTTAAACCTATAGAGTTTGTGGCTCTCATCATAAAATATCCCTCTCTTCAGGCTTCCCAGAGAAGCAGCAATAAACTCTTCAACTGCTAACTACAAGAATGTTATTTACTCTCTCAGGAATAGATGCTTCAACTGCCAAGCATTTAGAAGCCACAAAGCTTAGAAAATATGTATACCAAAAGAAACTGGGTTTGTTCCTTTAAGCTATAGAATATGTTTGCCATAAAAAAAAAACACCTGAATTTATTCACCTGAGCTGTAAACTCACCAGCACTGTTTATTAATCTATCACTGTAAAAATCATGGACAGATTTATAAATGTATCATATTTAGATCGGTCACATATCATTATAGCAGGCAATGATTACTCCAGGTAAGATACAGATTAAGTGCTAGGAGAGTCCCAAGAATGAGCTAAGTGCCTACACATAGTTGGCACAAAGCAAACACTTGACAAGTGACAGTACCAGGTGATTGATATATCAGGTAAATGATAGTGATTCGTTCTATAGTTGAAGGAACAAGAAGTACCAATGTTATTAAATAACTGTGTCACTGAATAGCTGGTCAGCAACAGCACTGGGACAAACATTCCAAGACATATTCCTCCTTACTCCCAAGGCTGGTGTTTTATCTAGTACACAACACTGCCTCTCTTTCCAGTAAAAATAGGTTCTACCTCCAGATTTCCTTGTTTCTAGTGATAGTAGCATCATATATATGGTCTGTCAGAAGAATTTACAATCTCCTACTTTCAAAACACAAACATAATTTTTTTCTGATTATAAAAGTAATTACTAAATTTTTGTTGACAATTGGGAAAATTTGCCCCAGCTCTCTTATACCAGGGCAGTCCCTGGCATAATAAGCCAAGCAGTCCAGAGCTGGTTTGGAGGCTCTACAAAGTCATGAGGCCCCTTCTATCTTCCTGCTTCACCCCCCTTGGTTTCCATCCTCTAGGTGACCCCAGGATCCAAGGTGGCTGCTAAAATTCCAACCATTTTATTCATATGACAGTGAGTCAGCAAGATAAAAAGAACTGAAGAGAAAGATGCAAGAATGTGTTCCCTCCCCCCTTTTAAAAGCCTTCCTGAAAATCCTACCTGATACATCTGTTTGTATTTCATTTGCCAAAACCTGGTCAATGATCACAGGATGTAAGGCAGCCTGGGAAAGGGTCTTTTAACTAGGCACACTGCCCAGGTTTCTGTAACTAAGGAAAAAGGGGATAATAGATTTTGGAATGAAATCACATCATATACTTTTTCCAATGTGTAAATAAAAGTAGTGTCATCAATGAAGGAAAGGGAAGTAAACTGCTGCTACAACATGAAGCTGATTTTTTCTTTAAAAAGAAAAAGTAGCTCCTAATAAAAGAAATTTATAAAACTAAGTATTCCTAGATACAACTCAAGAATCTTCTGCTAAGATCAAATCCAAATAAAAATGGATAGAGATTTACCATAATCTTATACCAAAGAAATCAGACCCACATTATTTCCTAACCTACATTCATGTGGAAAATATCAGGAAAAAGCAATTTTAACTAATCCCTAATCTGCTTTCTTTGTCTTTCCCAGCACAGACTGTCTAAGCTCATTAAATGAAAAGGTGAAGTTATTTCTTAGATAGCATAAATTGCTACTATTGGGACAAAACTATATCATTCAAAAAAGAACTTTGTTGAATGCTCTCACTGATGTTCTGAGTCAAAAATAACTTTACAATGTTAGATTTTGGACTCCTTCATCACTTTGAAAACAATACCTGGAATCTTTTTCATTAACGAATGCCACAATCATGATCCTCTATCTTCTTAAAAATGCCACAACTTTTAAAACTACAAAGACTCACTGACAGTATAAATAAAATCTTGCAAAACACAGTGGCTGGAACCCAGAACTGAGTGCACTTAACCATGGTGATCCCCTCCCATGCAATAAGCACAGGGAAATATAACAGTGAATGAGACAAAGTCCTGCCCTCTAGAAAAAATGGAGGACCTAAAGAGATTTCAAATTATTTCAATACAATACCATATCTAATCAATGCAGAAATTCAAAAGAGGGAAGAAAATCAGCTTTCTAAGTTATTAAAATGAGAGGAATCTTATAAATATTTGGAGGAGAGCTAATTACTGATGCTGATAAATCTTTCTAATAACTATATTTTATATTAAATTTGAATTATATTAGAATTATACTCCTGCCTCTCATTTTCTTTTACCAAAAACAATCACGGATTTAAGATTGCCACTTGCCCATCATCTCAAATCCTCCATAACCTAGCCCTGAAAGCCTTCCCAAAACCCAACTTCTACATAATCCCAACACTCCCCCCAAACTGGTCTAATTACTAACTTCCAAATGCACCATGTGCATATCTGTCTGCTCTATTATTAACAAGTTTCACCTACTCACCACACATGCATGCACATACACACACACAGAACATTCAGCTAAATTCTTATCTTCTTACAAATCCATTCAATAGCTCTTCTCAATGGAATCTTCCCCAGATCAAAATCTCTCTTTGATTTCTTTGAGCCTTTTAATCTATACCACTGATATAATTCCCCAGATTTACTTTATTATAAAGTTTATATTCCTGGCCAAATTTTAATCTCTATGGGAGTAGGAATTCAGTCTTATATCTCTTTGTATCATCTGAGCCTAGTAAAAAAGATGTGCAATGAATGTTGATAATTTTTGGTAATTATAAGTCATATCCCTTTTCCCTATATACAGAGGGAAGGACAGGGGAATAGCACTAGAAATGGCATGCCCACTTGGGAAATGGAGAAACCACATTAGACTGTCCTTTCTTCCAGACACACAGAGAGTTGCAAAGATAAGCCTAAAATGCTCTCTTGAATTAGGAGGTATAGCAATGAGTAAATAAAAGTCATTTATCAGGTGTTTTGGAATTTCCAGATAAAAGGTGTCAAATTACTACTGTATAAGATCCTCATCCACCACCTTAGATGCTTGAATGATGTGGCAAAGCATAAATATTTAACACAATGCATATCCCCAAGGAACAGCCTAAACACATATGCTTTTTGAAAACTGAGTTAGTTAAACAATCCTTGTCTATTGTTTAAAATATGATGAAGTTTTCCCATATGGTTTCCTAACACCTTATAACAAGAAAGCCATTTCTAAAGAATCTCCCCTGTCATGGAGCTTGGGGGGTGGGGCAGGCAGCAGTTTCACTGCTAATGCAGTAAAAATAAACTGGTTGGTGTCTTAGGAATTGGCTGGGGGAGTAAGAAAAAATTGACTTAGTACTTTAGCTCGTACTGAAAAGAAATCTGAGTTTTATAGACAGACATATGTAGCAGGCAGTCCGCCTGGAGATCAACCCCTCCATGACCAAAGTAAAAGAGACAGGGCTACACTTCCTGCCCCACACCTCATTCATCCATTACACATGTTAAGAACCAATGTATCCGTTAGAATACCTTAGGCTACAGTAACAGAAAATTATTACTCAAAATGGTTTAAAGAAGAAAACAATTTTCTTATATAACATGAAGTTACCAAGGTAGGAGATTTTTCAAAGTTGACTGATCCAGTGGCTCAAGAATGCCCTCAAGGACTATTCTACCTCTTTTTCTTTCTTATCAGGGTTGGTGCCATCCTTAAACTGGCAACAAGACGGTTGTAGTAGTTCCAAGTATCACCTCCAGGCAAGACAATATCCGGAGACAGAATAAAAATCATCTCTTTCAATTTCTCTTTCTTATGATCAAGAAAACCTCCCCTCACTTCTACAGCCAAGACAGGGTCACCTGCTCACCTTTAGTCACTGGGAAGGAAAAGAAGAACTCCAGGATTAGCTCAGACCACTTCTCAGCAAACTACTACTTACCTCAGCCATTGTAGCAGGGATGGATAATACATAAATGAATAAAAGTGGCTGTGTTCCAACTTTATTTACAAAAACAGGTGGAGGCCTGGATTTGTTTTTCTGTAGTCAGCTGAATTCTACTAGTTAGACTAACAGAAGTTATCTTTATAGTTATATAAAGAATTAGTTTCCCAGAATCACATAGTAGACTTGTAAACAAAATTGAGGTAGGAGGAAGAAAGCTGGAAAGGCAAATGGAGGCAGCAACTAACTGGGTCTACTACAACCTGCTTTGCACCTTGTGCAATGCTAACAATGTAAGACCAGGCTGCCTGTCACTCTTCTATGATTTCTTTTCCTCTTTCAAGGATTATGACAAAAATATAAAGTGACTTGCCTCAGGAGGCTGGGAATGGGGGTAAGGGGAAGAGTGTAAGGTAAGATTAGATTCCAGAAAAGTTGGCTGGGTGCAGTGGCTCATGCCTGTAATCCTAGCACTCTGGGAGGCCGAGGTGGGAGGATTGCCCATAGTTAAATCAATAAACAGAAGGGGAAAAAAGCTTGGATTTTTTTTTTTCACATTTTCATGTTTTATGTAGATTTAGAATAAAGTATCTGGAGAGGAGAGGACTAGACAGATTTTTGAAAAGTTGTCACGTGAAAGAAGCCGGAAGTAACCTAAACACATTTAAATAATATTCTGACAGTCTGAATGGGCGGCATTTATATATAAACTTAAATGAAAGCAGATGCCCATTACAAAAAGAAGTCTGTATAGTTCTCCAGGGATTTATTATAGAAGTACTATATCCAACTTCAACTGAGAAAGAAGAGATCAGAAGCTACCAGCCTCCCCCTCTGTTCATCCTTTATGCCCAAAGGTACTCTTTTCCTCTACCAGACTGAAATGGCACCAGGAATGATTTTAACGTTCAGCATTAAAAACCCTGACGTTATTTCTCTACCTATGTCTCCATGCTTTTAAAACATTTAGGCAGAAGCAGTTCAATGGGCATGAGGCATGAGAAGACATGCAGCCATTAACACCACCCTCACTTAACAGCCTGTGAAGGGAATAGGCTTTCATATCAAGTCAAGGAATTCAGAGCCTCTCCAGAACTGATCACATTCCTTGGTCTGACTCTAAAAACATCATAAGCATCCCTTCCCACCATGGTCTCTGGATCTGCTCTAGATCACATATGTTCTAGAAAGATCAGGTATAGAAGACCTGATCACAGGTCATAGAAGTATCTCTCAATCAAGTGTTCATCTAGTTACTTGAACCACAAAGTGATTTGCTCTAAAAACCATAACTTAATCAGTCAGTTATGGCACTGAATCAGTTTATGAAAAATCCTTTAGTATGTGTCCACACAGGAAACACATGGTATGTGATGGGCATCTTAGGAAACAAATTAGAAGCAGCTAGACCCACTCTCTGGGAGCTGAAGGAATTAAACAATATGCAAGAGTAGACAAAAGATAAAACTATCATTAATGGAAAGTCTACGAAATGCATATACATATTTAATAAAAATGCACTGTTTCTTTACATACATGGCATTGTACTTGAAACTATAAAAGCAAGCAAAATCCCTATCCCTGAAGATATCATTATATAGAAAATTCTGAATTCATCAAAAAGAAGGTATTTTGGTTAAACAATGATAATGATAATTAAAAAAATCACTCAAATTTATCTTACTATCACACAATTTGCACACCCCTCCTTCCTTAGCTTATATAATATTTTAACATCCATTATCTCACAGTGATTTCCACTGCAAGGCTAAAAAACTGGTGAATGACAAAGCATTATCTGTGTTTTTACATAGAAGGAAGTAGGGCTCACAGATGTCAAGCAGTTTTGCTTAATGATAATTATAGAGTGGTGGGGCTAGAACTCAAATCCATGGCTTCCCACCTCTGGATCAAGTCCACGCTTTCTCAACAGTGGTACTTCTGACATTGGGGGACAGATAGCTGTTTGTAGTAGGAGGGCTTCCCTGCACATTGCAGGATATTTAGCAACACCCCTGGCCTCTACTCACCAAATAACAGTAGCTGCAAGAACCTCACTCCAGTCTTGACAATCAAAAATGCCTTCAGACTTGTCAAATGTCCCACCCCATCCTTCACACACTGAGAACCACTCACCTAGTCCACTTTCAGGATTCTATTCAGATTAATAGAAACTATACATTTACCATATATGGCAATTCTGATCATCAATTTTTCATAAACCAAAAGCAAAAAAAAAAATAACAATCTATTCTTCCACAGTTTTTTTTAATTCCATGGTTCCTTATTTATTTCAAAGAAACTGAGAGAATTATACTGCCTTATCATCAACAGAAACATTGAGCTATAGATGTAAGAAAATGCCAGGTAGTAAAGAGTTTTCATTAACAAAGAGTTCGGGAGCTTTCAAGGTTTTTTAAAAAAAACAAACTTTTTTTCTTAAGTTTATTTATATATTAGGCAGGTAAAAAAATGTATCAAACTAGTTTCCTTTCTAGCCTCTATCTTCCTGCTTCTAGTACTATCCATATTTTATAGCTGTGGAAGGGAGGTAAGAAGAGACACCTAACAAATTACCCAGTCAATATCAGCCAAGGGGAAAAAAAAAAAAAAACAGCTGACAAAGCCCCCTCCACTGGCACCAACAGCCTTCCCTTGGCATTCTCCAGTGTGTGCTACTTAAGAACATTGAGTATGTAATCCCACTTGATTCATGCAGAGTATTCAGTATTTTGATTTTCTAGCATTTTTTAAAAAATAGGGTTTGTTTTAATCATTCTATCACGTGCTTTGCTTTGCTATAGGAATAAAGAAACTTTTCCAACAAAAGTCCTGGAAGGGAAATGGTTAAAATGAAAAAAGTATACCCCCATCAGTAAATTTTCTAGTGTAACTTACCTATTAATAACTTTAGCAATGAAGTAAATATTCTATCAATTACCATCTTGATTATTCAATTTTAAAAATCAATTGAGTATATGAAATGCAGTGTAAAGAATATAAATGATTTGGAATTACAGAATGAAGTAAAAAATTAGGTCAGTTTCGATATTACCTACTCTGGGTCTCCCCTCGGCTTCAGTTCATTAGAATTATGCATCATCTTCTGCAGGTAGCGTACTCAGCTTTATCAACAATAATGAATAAAGCTCCACGCCTCCCCAGGGAAAACTGAGCAATAAATAACTATGGTAACTCTGTCTATGGTAGCAACATTCAGTACAGTTTCAGCACCATATTGTACCTGTGTTTTTAAGACAGTGAATCTAGATTATGTTGAACAGATTCTATTCCTATACATGAATTCATCTGTGGTTTGGGCCAATTTGATGGCCTAAAGCACTAAGGATAAACTCCTTGCATTTTCAGAACAAAGATCCATACACACGAGATGATTCTCATTCATATTTCATCCGTTTTCAGAGCAGACCAATTTCAGGTCCAAAGGTTAACACCTAGTAAAGATGATGCAAGAATAAAAACAGTGCCATATGGTGCTTCCTGCATTTGACTGAAAAACACATCCAAAAGAGCCAGATTAACCTCACAGAGGACACATTACTGTCCATATGCAAGGCAAAATGCTGGGTGGACTATCGAAGACTAAATGTGACATTTGATGACCATCCCTGCAAGCCATCATACCACCCCTTGTGAAACTGTCCTGGTTAATGCTCATCATTCCTCTCTCTTAGGAAAGGATGTCTTCAAACATGTGTGCGCGCGCGCACACACACATGCAAAAGGAGACGTATGCAAATGAAGCTGTAGGCAAAAGTGGCACATCCAGGGAAATTGCAGCCTTCATAGGTGGCTATTTAGGAAAAGCTTCCCCATTGCCCCCAGCCACAGACCAAAGTGCTTAACCCTTTTCCTTGGGTGGTTTTCTAAGCCAGGAAACAGAAAGCTTCTGAAACCCTTTCCTAGTAAAAATTAAGGTGCCATGTAAATATAATTCCTGCCAGAGATGCCTGAAGGCATCTAAAGAGCAGCGGTGGATTCATCCACTGGCCCAGACGCAATGTCTGACTCAGCCCTTAATGTCACCAATTTGCTGGAGATTTGGAGCCAGCCATTTATTTTGCCGCTGCTGCTTTCATTACCCTGCCCTTGCTATTAGCCTAAGCAAGTGCCAACCCCATTCCCTGTATTGTACTGAATGTGTAATAGGAGACAAACCCCACCTGCTGACTTGACATCACAAGCTTGCTAATTAAAAACATAGGAAAAGCATTATCATTTCAGCATTTTCAATCACAAAAACAAAACATTATCCACTGACCCACACCAAAATACAGCTGCATTGCTGAATTTCTGACAAAACTGCTATATCCTACAAAGAGACCTGACCTAGAACACCTGCATGCTAATGCAGTGAGGAGCTAAAAATCTCAGTTCTGCCTCTGACTTGATGTTTGACCTGGGAGATTTCCTTAACTTCTCTAGGCTTCATCTAAAATTCTTTCTTCATTCATAACTGAAAATATTAACTCAGAACTGTGGGGAGGATTAAATAAGATCAAGTGTATCATGGGTAATAGTGCATTGTTTATTCTTATCCTCCATAAATTAGACTCCCTGGAAACTGCTCTGCCAGGAATGACATAGAGAAAGCCTTGGTCTACTGGAAGTAGAAAGCCCAGGATGGTGGCCCCCAACTGACTGTGAGGAATAAAGGAGGGTAGGCAAGCAAATGGTGAGACACATGTGCCTCAGCCTCCCTTCACTAAACTAAAGTCCCAGAAAGGTAGACGTATTGTTAGACAGATTGAGGGATAAGCCAAAAGCAGAAAATCTCCTGCTTAGTTTCCAGTCTGAGACTCTGGGATGCAACCATCACCCTGGGTACCCCTACAATAACCCAAGACAGCCATGGGGTCAGTTGGAGAAAATGTCTAAATGTGCAAGGTCCAGCCTACCTCCACTTCTGTGAGGAATGGAAGGGACCCAGAAATCCCTTCAGGACCCTGAGGACAGACATGGAAACAGCTCAGTGTCTGGCTGGAGAACATGCCAGAGGAAATGACACAGTATATGGCTGAGGGAGTCAGCGCCAAACCTCCAAGGTCCACAATACCAAGCCACAGTGAGGAGGGAAGCCAGGCCAATGGGCAGGACCACTGTTCCCTGATAAAGCAAAGAGAACAGATCACAAGTTCCCTAACCTCAGGCTTCAGTTCTACATGCCAAGCGGGGACAGTGTGGTAACTGCTGCACAGCCACAGAACAATACAAAGACTGTCCTCATGGATTCAACAGCTCCTCAGTCCCTCCACCATAAGATCCCCTAAGCCCCACTCCCTCCCAATTCATCCAGGCGCCACTTCAGACAACAGGCTCTAATCATAAAGAAGGAATATATATCCAGAAAAATTGAATTACCTAAAAAGATCTGTTTAAATTTGGAAATCAGACTAAGTTTGCCTAGATGTTCAAAAAATAGTCCACTGTTCCCTTTAGTTCAGCAGCATGGGGGCCTCATGAGGGAGCTCGGTTATAAAAAATTAAGAAGCTCTATTTTCCATGCATATCTGAACTTAAAGGTGTAAAATGTGATGCACCAGAACTACAAGTCAACGCTGATCTGCTATTATGTCGGGCTTGGCTGAAGAGTCTCATCCACAGTACTTTACTTTTTCCGTTAAATGTTACCAATCTTATGTCAAGGAACCCAGCCAGCTAGGCAGCAGTCAAATTTTAACTTGCCAATTAGAGATATCTTCAGTCCAAACCGGTAATGATTCTCGTCACCTTCAGTTTAAACTGTAGCCCAGTTCAGTTCAAAGCCAGGGTGCACTCCTAGCATAGACTGTATTTTTGGACAGTTACTAGTTGAAGAAGTGGCCTGCTCTCTTTTCTCCATCCTCCATGTCCCATGCATTGGTTCTACTGAGGACAGCAAAAGAAAGCAAGGGGTAGAGAGAAGGTAGGGTAAAGTTGGCTTCTGCAGCAGCAGCTGTCTCCTTCTGTTGGCCACTGCTATTTCTCTGTCTGATGCCAGTGACAAATAATTATCACCATCACCATGGTCTGCTCCCACAATGTGAGTGCTAAATACTGAGAGCCTTCTCCACTCAAGTATTCTTGAGGTAGACACAGCATGCTACTAGGCATTATTCCCTCCATGAAGACACACAAGATTCTGAGAGGGGAGTTTTTGCATTGCCTCTAGGCCCCACACCAAAGGTAAGCAGAGCACTCCCTCCTCAGGCATGCACCTTCTCATTTAGTTGGGGTAGAGCTCCCAAGGCAGCCCTTCAATGCCTCCTACACAACCACCGCATCCTTAATATTGAGGACTTCAGGAAACTGTAGCCCCCTTGCTCCAAGTATTCTGGTATTTTGTGAAGCTTTGTGCCCTGCGGGGCTAGATGCCCCACCCACCAGCACTTCACTCCGGTGTAGCATGGGGTACTTCTGTGACTTATCAGTCAACAGTAACTCCAGGTGTGTAGTGAACCACACTCCTTCAAAACTCCCCATGCTAGATGCAGGACTAGATGTTCTCCTGGCTTTAGGGCTTGATTCTG